CACGACAGGTCGGAAAAGCATTTTATAGTGATGAAAATCCACTTGGATCGAAGTTTTAAAATAGTTTGATTTTTTATTCACAATTTTATGCGGAAAATCTTTGGTTTAATGGGGAAGGCAGGTGGAAAGCGGGTGGAATGTGGGAGTGCCAAGTAGAGAGCACAACGTACCCGTATATCAACACAAATTGTGGCAATTGATTGCGAGTAGCAAATACAAAGCCCGGTCCTTGAATTCATGCGCATTTGGCTGCCATTCCACATGGTGTGCAACTCCACCTTAACCCTACCCCATATTTCCATACCCCAACCACCCCAAAACCTTTATTATCCACTGAGTTTGCATTGCCGAAGGCGAAGAGAAGCAAACAAGGTTTGGGCCTTAAGTGGGTTTAGTTTAATTTGTGGCCAAATGTGAGCACATTTTGCGCAACTCTAAGGGTTGGAGGTAGCTAATTGAGGGGACTATTCCAAACAGGCATCTATGTAGCAAACAAATGGAAATTATTGAATTCCAAGTACGGGAGAAGGGGATGTATCCCCATGTTAACAGGATTATTCACTGAGCCGGGAGAAGAATGTCGAGCATAGAATTGTGCTGGCATAGGAAATTGTAATTGTTTTGTGTTCTAGGACAATTGAGAACATATCTCCAAGTAGATGCTACACGCCGTTACCTACAAACAATTCTAATCAGATACAGATACAACACTTCCCCGTACACGAAGCACCAAGGGTTTATATTTCAAATGAAAGTTTGTATGTTTTAGAAATTTTTTTAAAATTCTTTTTTAGAAAATTTCTTTTAAATTTAGAAAATATTTTTGTTTGCAAAATATTTCTAAAATAAAGAAAACACATTTTTTTCTTTTAGTGTACCTATGGTAAAAAACAATAAGCTGTCAAGGGTTGTAAATTACTTATAACGTATTTTCTCACAAATGTGTGACAGTAAATTGCAGCCTGCCAATGAATGTTTTATGATTTCTGCTAGCTTGTTCAATGCCTCTTGGCTTTAACGTTGCTTGTCGAATTTAACGCCTTGACTTTTGGCTTGCAAAGAGCAACTTATTAGTCAAAGTCCTTTTTCAGTTCCTCTTAAAGAGGTCGGGTAATGGCAAACATATTTGAAATGTGAAGAGCTCGGCTTCGATCACATTCGATTGAAATAGAAACCGAAAACTTCAACGATTTATTTGCCTTAACATTGCAGCTCACTTCCAGAGCACAAACCTCCCCAAAGGAGGAAGGAAAACAAGCCAAAAGTCAATGGTAAAATGTTGGTGGGTCGTTAAAAAAATTGGGAATTTTCTGATTTATTTGCGCAGCGAGCGCGAAATGAAAAATTGCGTAAGCAGTGGAATTACTTTTAGAACTTGGAGTGGGAAGCCATCATTAGTAAATAGAGGGGGGCACAACGTGGTGCCAGCAAAGTATTTGCACAAATCTAATGAGTATTGGCTGAAGAGCGAAGTATTTCCGTTTTATTATTTTATTTTTTGCCCATTTTCCACTTTTGAGATGACTTGGGGAAAATGTTTGCAATTCTCAGCGCATGGAGCTGGGAAACTCAGGAAGAAAAACTCCCCGCCCAGATATGAAAGTCGGGTACTCATCTACGGCCATATCTTGTTCCTTCTTCTCGCCCCCAGGGCAGCCATTGCACTTGGGCGCCCTGATTTTCCCCCAAATGTACATTTTCCAGGCTTGCGTTTTGCCACCCACCACCACATATGTGCTTAGGCGGGGGCGTGGCATTGTCTGGCAGCTGCTGCCCAAAAATGCCAAGCACCAGGACCTCGGTTATGAGCTTTTTCCTTGTCGTCCTTGTCTTCGTGGTCTTTTGGTTACTTTATTTGTTTGCCCCTACTCTAACGCCAAGCAGTACTTGAACTATTTGAATGAATCTTTTCTACAAGGACTTGAGCTTCTTCAGTTAATGCTAAGAATCCAAAATATTGACAACTGAAGAAAAGACTTTGGAAGCTAATGCATTTGAAAAAGTATCATAATAATTGTAAACTAATTTAATAAAGGAAACAAAGCATTACCACCATTTAAAACCCACTTAAATTTCAAAAAGTGTTTAATTAAATAAGAATATATAAGTAAAATCATTAAGAAGTCACAGTCATTTGAAAAACATTATTGTGGCGTTTACATATATATCGCAATGAACCTTAATGTTTAGTAAACACCAAAAAGGTATTCTGAAGAACTAGTAAAAGCTTCTCAACTACATTACCGATTGTAAAAGAACATTCAAGGGTAAGTGTATCACCAGTTGCCTTCAACTTTCGGGTTTGCCTGTCATACCTTCAGGGTATTGAGAATTCGCAAGGAATTTTGTTTATGTTTTCTTTTTGTTTTGTTATCCATTTTTGGTTGCTTTTACTGTAGTTGCTGTTGTTCTGTTCCATGGCCATTGGCTCCATTATTTTGGCCTGTCTGCCCTCGGGCCAGGACGAAATTATGGGCAAGGGAGGTTTGGATGGAGGGGGAGAAACTTTATTCCGGGGCTGAGGAGCGTTGTGGTTTGTTCGGCTGCGGTTGGTTTTGGTCTGGCAGGAACCTCGTATTTCATTATCTATATATGCCCGGCAACACATTGAAGATTCGCATTTCGTTTTTATCGCATTCCTTTGCCTCATCTGGCCCGCTGCATTATGTTCGCCTGATTAATTTTTGAGTCGCTTTTCGGATAGTAGTCAGGATTGGGCAGGAGAAGCGGGATGTGGCTACTTTCCCACGCGTTCACTTCTCTGGACCCTGTATACCCCAACCTTTTTCCCTTTTTTGGCCCTCTCCTTAAGTGCAGATTTTTGCCTTAAATGTTGCGGCTATTTTCTGCTTTGGTTGTTTGTTTTGCTTTCCTGGTGTTCTGGCTTGTTGGTTGCGCTTATTAATTGTGTAATTTAGTTTTAGGTGTTGCCTGCTTGCCGCTTTTATGCTATCCTGGCCAATTAAGACTGGCAGAAGGCCTAAAGTTGTGGCAACTTAGTGGGTACTTCCCTTCTAAATTTTGTATCTTCAATTATGTTGTGATAAAGATTAAGCGGTTAACCGAAGGAAATTGATGGTTAAGAAGTTTAAGAGACTATTAATTTCTAGTTGGAATTTAAAAGGTGCAAAACATAGATTTTTCCTAGGAAAATTAACTTATAAAGTTTTTAATTTTTCTCATTTCAAAGCCCATTACAACCGAAATTGTTTATGCTATCGGCATCCTTCAGAATGTTTACCACTCGGATCGTTTACACTCCCCTCCGTGTTTGCTGTCCCCATTTGGTTGGCTAAATTATTGAATTTTTCGCCTAATTTACTGCGTTTACTTCTTTCTATATTCATAATGTGAATATTTTATGTGTTTGCCAACGTTGCGTATACGTAACGTAATTTACGAAGCACAAGGACGAAGGGCAGCGCTGTTCCATAAAACTTTTCCCGGCAAGTCGGCAATCTCTGAAGCGAGACGACCGAGAAATGTTCACTCTTCCCCTCCAGATTTAAGTTCGACTTTTCCGTCGCTTTGGGGCAGCTTCAATTTGTTTGCCGTGGCTGTCGCATCTGAAATTGAATTCGGGCGGAAAACTTTGGCCACCATCTTATGCTGATGACAAGTTTCGCATCCGCTTACCTACAATGTATGAAGCCAGGGTTCACGGAGTTTTAATTTAGTAATATCGATAAGGCAGTACAAGTTGTCAGGAGTGTTAAATAAACGAGTTTCTGTTGCGGATGCAGGGCAAACACTTTGCTTATTAAGTGCCTCCGCATTTTGTTTACTCCCAGACAGAACTGCGCAAAAAAGTGGAAAAAAGTGGCAAAAGAAAAGGAGAAAATACGTTAAAACCAATTCTCATTCCCATGCCAGGCATAAGGCACGCACTCGACAAACAGCAAGCTTACAGAAAAAAAAGAGAGATAAAAAAATGCCAAAACTTGTTCAACAGCATTTTTCCCTGTCTGCTCCGCTCCCGTTCTGCTGCACCTCTCCACCGCCCACTCATCGAAAAGGAGGCGGACCTGAACCAAAGATGGATTGGACATTGCCCTGTTGATCAAAAGAGGTGATAAATCGATCGTTGGATTTCATTGAACCGTTTATCAGGAAGAGCAGAAAAGAAGTAAATGTAGTGATTATTGAATCAACAAGGTTTCTGAGACTGATTAAATTTAATAGTCTTCAAAAATGTAATTGTTATATAGCTCGACTGTGGCAATACGAATTATCAGTTTGTAACTATGTTCCACTACAAGCAATCTCGAATACCCTTATTAATACCCTGGCGGTTCATCCATATTAAAAAACCAAAATAGGAAACATAAAACGAGTTGAGCATCAAGACAGATGCGTACAACGCCAAGACGATAACATGGCACATAACAAGCTCATATGAGTTATAAAACGCAGCTTATAGAACCCCGGAGATACCCCTAGCATTGTGCCCGCTTCTCGAAACCCAGCAAACCAAACATTCGCATTGTGTTTTGGTCTTTTTTCGAGATCTCTTACTGTTTTTGTTTCGCTTTCTGTTGTATTTTTGCTGTGTTTCTGTTTCGCTGATGTTTTCGCTTCTGCAGCCGATGCCTCGTATAAATGCATATTGGTGTCGTTGCCGCTGTCCCGCATTGCCTGTCTCGTTCGCTCTTTGTTGCCCACCCGCTTCCTCTGGCCAAATACAGCAAAATGGCCAGCAGAAACAACAATAACAACAACGAGGTAAGAGCTGCTCGAGCGGGATGCTGACTAAAGGCAGAAACTGAGAATGGAGATCTGGGCTTATGCGTTTTTCATGTAGTTGGCGCTTTTTCGATGAAAAGCGAGAACCTGAAAAAGTGAAAACAAAAAAAAACAATCATAAATAAATAAATTATTAAACTGTTATTCATTTAAATATAATTAAAGCACAAATTTCTAGCAATAAAAGCAATAAAAATTGTGGAAATATAACAAATTAAACCATTTCAATTTACATATCAGTTTATTTCTACTTTTAGCTCCTGTGACACGATCTACACATCATAAAAGGTAAGCAAAATACATAATATTTGGCATATTTACTATTTTGGTTACTATTTTCCGATTAACGGTATGTAAATCTGTGGTTATATTAAAACCATGTTCAATCCTTCGCTGCTTCTGTGGAAACCAAAAGAAAGCAAATCCTCTGCCATGTCAACTGTCAACATTGACGGCCATTTTGTGTTTTTATTTCCGTTTCCCTTCCATAGTTGGTTTATTCGTTTTTTTTTTTCAAGTGTCATTTCAGGGGCTTACAGAGCAGGGAGTGGAAAATAAATATAAACATCATTTTTAATTGCACCCATTGTGAGGAAAAAGTTACCAAAAAGACAGAACCCATTTCGACCCTCTTTCTTGTTCCTCATTTTATCAGGGGAACAATTATTTGGAGTGTAGACTGGGGAAATTTAATTTTTGCATGGAAAACTAAACACTTGTGATAAACAGCGCTTATGCGATGAAATTCTTGAATACTTAAATTCTTAGTGCTTGCAACTATGTTTTTAAATATAAACTATGAAAAACGCTTACGGATTTCTGCTGAAATTACAGTAATTGTTACTTGATTTTATTTAAACAATTTTATAAAATTGGCTCCGCATCAACCCAGTATTAGAACTTGACACAAAAGGCAGTTGCTCCAGAGTTTGAAATTTGTATTTTACCGTTACGCGCTTGCGTTTGCGCCTAGGGTTGCAACTCATTAGCAGGCAAATGTTATATAGGCAAATGCTCACTTTGAAGCCATTTAAATTTTAAATATGCCACCGCAAGATGCCACGCTCCCCTATACGAAAAATTTCTTCCTTTTGCATAGCAAAGTGTTGAAAACTTTTTGCCGAGACTGTGCCAAGATTGGTACACAATGAAAAGTGATAACGCACTCGCCGTCTCTCTTTCTTTTCTGGCCTCGAAAGGGCAATAAAAAATAAACTTTGGCAATTAATTTAATTTATGCGGTATTTAATGTGCACACAATGCACGCAGCATCCTGTTTGCACGTCCTTAGGCAAATATTGGCCAAGAGTCCTCTTCAATGTGTGCCGAAGATTTCACTGAAACTAAATAATTTTCAGGGCGGGTAGGGATTATTTGGTTTTATTGCTACTCAAAATTAAGGAAAAGACGACATGGGCATGGATTCGTTCGCCTAAGATGTGTGCGGTTATAACCTTGCCTCCTCATCGTCTTCATCACCATTTTGTGGTTAATGACTTGGGATATATATCTATATTAGAGTGTGAGGACATAACCACTAAAGGGTTTTACTACGTGCTTACAAAGGCAATCCAGTTTAAGGATATCCAGCAATATAAATGGGTTAAAAGAAAATTAAGAAAACGTGAAAGGATAGTTTTAATTTCTACCTGTGGTTTTTTGATTAAGACGAAATTTTTTCGTAAATTAGTTAGTTTTCAGAAGTTATAAAAGCCTTTTTGAATTTGGTGTTTTATTTTTGTGTAATTAAAAAAGAATCTTCTCTCCCAAATTGTACATTAAAATTTATACTCAGTTCTCAATAAGTGCTTCAACACAAAGAATATTTTATCTCGGTAACATTGAATTTACAGCTATTTTAATTTCTTATTGCTTCATTGGCTTCCCAGCAAAATTGTTAACATGTTTAGCTTCTCGTTTCTTTCAATTACGACAACACATTTAATTTGTGATTCTCCCCGCTTAGCTGCCGTTTTCCCTCGCCTTTTCATTCGCTTATCATAGGTTTTCCTTTGAGAAACGTGACTTCGGACTTGTATCAAAAAAAATATAAAAACGAAGAACTTTCTTTCTGTCTCTTTTTACTTTTTTTTAAATTTTATCAAGCAGAGTTCATGTCCCTAAAGAAATATTTCATGACAAGGATTATTACGCAGGCGATATATGCGTGTTAGGAAGCAAGGGAATGAACACCGACATTAATCATTGCTCAACTTTATAATTTTGTCAGGGCTTACCCGACCCTATTCTTCTCTTCGGCCCCTTTCCGTATTCCGTTCAGTATGCAACTACAATTTTTCATACAAAATGATGTCATTAAACAAAGAACAGAAACGAACCGACGACTACAATAATGAGCCGGAGCTCTGAGCCGAGTCAGGGAATTGGCAAGGGAAGCGGGGTAGCGGCTCGGGAAAAGGCAGAAAAATCGTGCGACTAAATCCCAAAACCATTTTTATGAACCGAGCGAAATGACACAGCAGCAATGTCAGTGCGAATGGGAGGGTCAGATGAAAAAAAGTGACAGTCAATGAGTGGGAAAGTGAAAAGTGACATAAACGCGGTAATACCAAGGGGAGGCCACATAATGAAGCGAAAGCGACTTGTTAGTCGCTGGTGGAGTTCGGTGGATAAAGAACGGCCTGCTCCGAAGTCGTGGTTCCGCTCCTATTTCTGCTCCTCCTCCTAATTCTATTCCCTTGCTAGTCCCATGCCCCTGCCCCGAAAACCGAGTTGCGATTCCCTTTTAGCCCCCTATAGAGAGTTGCCAGTATATTAAAACGGATGAAAAAATAAAAAAAACTATTCGAATTTGTGATTTAAAGTCATTTTTTGTCAATGTGTTGCGTTCGAAGTTACATATCTTTTAAAAATATATGCTTACTTAGCAGTTACTTTGTCAAAACAAAAAAATTATTTTATTATTTTAGGACAAGAACAATATGTATATTACGTTTATTCACATTTATTCTAATTAAAAATATGTAAAGCTTTAAAATAAAGCACGACAAATAGATATATTAAATTCCAATTTATCCCCCTAATACCCAATACCAGCTCATTTTGGTAGCTAAGCAACGTTAATTGATATCAAAGTAATATCAAATATTGTTTAGATAATTCTCTGTTCTTTGGAATATTCTAATGTCTTGCTGAGTGAAACCTCTTAAACCACCCACTCGTTAGCGGCAACAGCAGCCCATGGAACTTGTCTCATGGCCTCGTGGCCCATTCAGCTGCGGCCCAGGCCAAAAAGTTTGGCCAGAACGGATGCGTCAAGTTGAATGGCTATAAAAGCGTTGAATGATGTTGCGATGATGATGGCGAGGGGGGTGTTTTCATGGCAACAGAGGGTGGCGTAGCGTTAGGGAGTTGGTGAAAGGGAGGAAGAGCATTACGTATGCAAGTCGGCTACGCAAACCAAACACAGACACAGGAACGCACACACAAACGCACTTACTCACCTTTGAAAGAACCCCCGCCCACCCCTGCCACCCCCTCCCTTACACAACCACTACCACCCCCACCATCAGTCCCTTGGCTCGACAAACATTTAGTCTGATTCTGATTCAGCGGCGGCAACTGAATGACGACGAATTTTGAATACGAATTTCATTATACGCAGCACTCAATTATTCAGTAATCAAGCTAGGCCAAAAAAAGGGGCGAAGGGGCGTGACTAAGTCCAATGTTTTCACACAGAAAAAAATTTTTTCATTTAAAAAAAGTCCTCTAAAATCTATTAAACTCATTATAAAAATTTGAAGACTAGCATGTAATTATTTTAACTAATATCATTTATTATATTATATTTCTTAATTTTTTTCATTAATTTGTTAATTTGTTTAAAATATACTTAAAAAATAAATATTTTATTGGTTTCTCGTTCTTATTTTCTTTTAATAAATTTATAACTTCTTAACTTTAATAATTGGAAAAAAAACTGTTTAAAATGGTTGACAATACAGTCAAACTTAAAAAATAAAAAATTAAAAAGATTTTTTTTTTCGTGCCATTTTCGCTTGGTGTTTCCTTTGTTGTTCGTCTGGGCCCTGTTTGAACAATTTGGAGCAATTTTATACAGTTACACGCCCTTAAAACCAAAACCCACTCCTCTCTACCCAACGAACAGCTAATTAACGTGCTTTCAGTGCAAAAAAAAGGGCTTGGGTTTTTGAGTACAAAAAGGCGGCTCGCAAATTGCCAATTGGTTTGAATTTTCGATGAAGTTGTGCTTGTTGTTTTTTGTTATTGTTACTGTTGTTTCCTCAGAACAATCCGACTTCATCAACCATCCCGTCCCCCGCACTTCCCTGAGCAATGTTAGTTGGCAGTTAGTCGCTGTTGGCTGCTAGTAATTATAATTATGCATGTGTAAATTTATTAATTATGCAGGCCAAAGTTCGCCGAGAGGGAAATTTTCCGCAGAATGGAGGGGGTATGACGGTGTTTGGTGGATATAGCAGAGTGGTTTTATGTCATCCAGTTGGTGATGAATTGTAGTTGATTTGGCCTCTGATAAAGCGAGGGAATTGCTTGTCAAGTGGTGAGCTAAAGTCAGGAAAACCGACAGGGTGATGTGCCAGTCTGTTCTGTTTTTTTGTAAAGATTGATGGAAAACAACTGATTTTTGGTAGTGTCTATAATTTTAGTTTATAAAGAATTCAGTTGTTTCTCATCAATCTCAGCAAAAACCAAAAAGTCTGTCACCAAGACCATAAATAAAATAACCATGTTTTGTCTATGAAATTAATTTAAATAAAGAATAGATAAATTTAACTTAAAAAAACAACAAGATGTAATTAAAATGAAGCTGTAAGCATTTATATTGCCTAGTGATGGCTCGTATTACAACTATCAAATAATTCATTAAAGTAAAGAAAAATATTAAAATTAAACTAGAGTGTAATTTTTTTTGTTAACTTCCTTAGCTAAACGCGACATTTTCTTAACCTACAAATTTCTTTCTGGCTATTTCCTTTGGCCCGAACCTACCCTCTAACATCTCTTGTCCAATTTCTATTCCAATCCATTTGCAAGTTTGCATATTTAAGACCAAACTAATTTCAGGAGTCACCGCTAACTGAAAAGAAGTTGTCAACTTTTGGAAGCCCACTCGGCTATGAGAAAAAACCCTAGAAGGTGCATCTCGACTCCAGAGCTCCCTGTTTTTCATTTGGGCTGCTTCTCTATGCTGTTTCGGCCCGTTTTGCGTCCTGTCTGGGCTCCTTTGGCTTGACACATTGCCTTGTCGGCTGTCAGTTGGCCGAGTTTGTCCGCAACAGAAA